CGCCCCGCCCCGCCCATCGCGCCCACCCTGCCCTCGGTGCTCACCGCACGCACATCCTCAGGGAGGTCGTCGTCTATCTCACCCTTAGCAGTCTTCTCCAGGGTGTTGATGGCGATTTCCAGGAGTTTCTCATGGTGGTGATTTTCAAGGTCCCGGCACTGAGCCATAGTGCAACCGTGAGTTAAGCAAAGCCAGGTTTGGGGCAGGACGGGCACTTTCCTGACCTGTGGCTGAACTTCTGTCAAGCAAAAGTCCATCTCATCTCAACTAGAGGAGAGCACTCCCCAATTCCCCTACTCTTTTTTTTCTTTTCCTTTTTTTTTTTTTTTGCACCAGGTATTGAACCCAGGAGTGTTTAACCCCTGAACATCCTCAGCCTCCTGAGCCACTGGGATTACAGGCATGCACTGCCACTCCTAGCTAATCTCTCATTCTTGCCCCTTCTTCTCATAGCAGCCAGAGTGAGCTTAAGGACAAGGGTATCCAGGTCCCATCTGTCCCCTGCTTAAAGTGCCTGGGAACTTCCAGTTCTCTGACATGGCCTGAAGAACCAAGCTCCTCTGGCCCACCCTCAGGACCTTTGTGCATGCTGCCTTCTCTGCCTGTGTACTCTCCCCCACCCTTTCTCCTGGTCCCTTTGGCTACTTAGAGGCTCTTACTGCGTGGACCCTCTCTCATGGAGGCACTTGGCCTTGGACTCCAAGTTGGCTGCTACTCACCTGTGCATTGGGTACCACTTGTTACCTCCATAACTTCTGTCCACTTGCAGGATCTGAGCCCCAAGAGGACAGAACCAGGGCTTGCATTCAGTTTCCCCCCCACCCCTCAGTGTAACAGGGTCCTGAGTTCAGGTGGCTGAAGGGTTGACATGTTCCATATGTCAATTTCTGTGTCTTCAATGTAGATGTTACTTAAGCCCCAGAGTGTGCTAGGCTGCAACACAGGAGCAGGTAGTGATTTTGGGGGTGTCATCTTCCCATGAACACCACCCACCTTGAGAAAAAACAGGCAAGGACTCTATTGCACAGCAGTCACTCTGGGCATCTGAATGTCACTCTAACAAGACTACTGTTGTCCTAAAGGTTGGGAAACCACCTTGGGCCCTAAAGAACATTCTTTTGAACATTTTATGTGGTTCTAAGCCTTCATCCTTTGAAGCTTTTTTGTTGGTGGAAAACTGAATGTTTTACATTCCTCTAATTTCAAAGGTGGAGATCCCCAAGAAATAGAATCCTATAGTGAATTTAAATATCCTCTTGGTGGAGGTGTAGATCTTTCTCCAAATCAAATGGCAAATAGGTATTTCCAGTAAAAAGTGAAATATGATGTGGAGTGCTAACTTCTTACTACCTCTGCCAACCTGTTTAGGGCACAGGGGGCAGTGGTGACTCTGCAGATGGCCATCTGGAAGAGAAACCCACTTATTTGCATCTTGCTTAAGATTCTGAAGAAGGCTTACCCTTCCTTACCTTTTGTTAGAACTGCAGACTCCTTTTCCCTATCTCCCCAAGAAGCCAGGACATCCCTAGGAACTATGTAGTACCTTCCTGTGGAGGTGTCATCACAAAAAGGATATAAGCCTTGGACATTTTCGATAAAGAGTCCCACCAAGTCAATGATGTTCCTTTCAAACATGTTTATGGTCTCCTGGAAAGGATAAAGTTAACTTGTATATTGAGATACTTTGCATCAGAGCAAAAGGTGGTGCCTAGCAGGTGCTTCCTTTAATCACATATCTTTAGGGGTGGACACCATCCACCTTGACCTCCCTGGGAAGATGGTTGAGAAATGACCTTTCCTCTCTCCAGAGCTTTGTTACTCTCCACTATCAACAAACTCCCTACCTTAAAGGTTAAATGCTCTCTTGGGCTTTGTCTGTTGGTCCCTCTGCCAGAAACGCCTGTCCTGGTCTTTTTCCTCTTACCCCCACTATCTCCACAGACTAATACCCTTATTTAGGGTTTCTCAATGTCATCTATCAACTTCCAAAGAAATAGTGAGGGAGCTATAAAGAGTCAGCCTGCCTGTATCAGCATCCCAGCCCCACCCCTGTGTATTACTCTGGGAAAGTCACTTAACCTCCTGGGCCTCTCCTTCCTCATCTGGGAAATGGGTTTCCTGGCTGGTGCCTGTCTCCTGGAATCGGGGTGGGGTTAAATGAGCTGCTTTGCACAAAATACTTTGCAAGGTGCCTGACAGAGAGAAGACCCTCAGGGAGTGTTAGTTGTTACTGTTAGTTGCTATTTCCTGGTACTTAGCAAAGCACCTGTGGCCTAAATGGAAGTTAGTGTTATGAAGGGAACAATGGAAGAAGCAATGGTGAGGCCTGTTGTTCTGGGAGCCCCCTGCCCTGATCTGCCACACTCCGAGGGCTGCAAGGTAGGCTAAGGGTACAGGGTATCTACAGGAAGCCAAGGACTGCCTGCAGGCCCAGCAAATGAGACATTTTCCAAATGTGTGTGTGAGGGCTGCTGTGGTGAATAAAAATAGGGTCATTGAAAAGCATGACTGTCCTCCCCGCCTTTTGGTCACTGGTAATACACGTAGGACAGTGCACGGTTCTGGGAAACGTTTGGATGTTGAAAAGCGATCTCCCTGCTTGAAAAGGTCGTGGGCTGCTGGCGGGCCCTCCCCTGGCGCTGCGTGTTCCTTCTGCAGTGCTTGAGCATTTCCCAGCGGGGAGCGAGTGGCTGCTGTGGGATGTGATGGCGAAATCTATCTCATGTCTGAGGTGTCACTTGACGTGTGAGGAATTGATTAGGCGCTATCTCTTGGCCCAGCCACGGCAGCATCAGATGAGGTTCAATTCATCACACCACTTCCGACTCCCGGCCTCTGCTGCCAGCGAACACACAAGTCACCCTGGCTGCTAATGAATTTTAGACAGCAGCGCTTTTCATTTCCACATCTTGCTACTGAGTTGCAGGCTCCTCGCATCGCCAGGGAGACAGCAACCACAGGCTGCGATGCGGAGGCGCCTTTGTTTGGTCCCTGAGTGGGGGTTTACTTTGTCTTGCAAGCCCTGGGACTGCTTTTGGGTCTAATAAAAAAAAACCTCTCTCTGCTGAGGCTCTGGGCTCTTTCAGAAGGAGAGGAACATTCCAGAGGAATGAGCTCACCTCTCATTCTCCACAAGAGCCACTTCCCATCTAAATTATTAAAAATGTATAAAATCTGGGGCTGGGGGTGCGACTCAGTGGCAAAATGCTTGCATGAGGCCCTGGTTTCCATCCCTGGTGAGGGGGTGGGGAGGCCAGGTGGAACACAGGAATGATGAGCAAGAAGGCTTCAGTGTGACACTCTAGATCACACTGGACCTTTCCAACACACATGGAGGCTGTAGCTCACGGAGCGGTTTCTCAGCTGGGCCACCAGTTTCTTGCATCTGCACCCAGGCCCAAACTCACCTCCAGCTGCTCTACCAGCTGCATCTCCAGTGTCATGAGCACGTTGAATAGCTCAGTGATATCCTCACTGCACTCCATTATCTTCTTCTCAATGTTGAGCAGATCAGATTCTTCTCGGATGCTATTTAAATTCTGGAAACAAAAGTCTGTGCTTTAGGAATCAACAGTTAAGCGTAATTAGTTAATGGCAAGTGGCAATTGGGTTTTGCCTAAAGTTCAAGTCTCACTTCTGTCATTTGCCAGTTCTGGGAGCTTGTGACGTTAGCATATTATTTTGAGTGAAAGGTGCTTTAGAAACCTGGCATGGTGGCACACATCTATAATCCCAGCTACTTGGAAGTCTGAGGCAGGAGAATTGCAAGTTCAAGGCCAGCCTGGGCAACTGAGTGAGATCCTGTCCCAAAGTAAAAAAATTAAAAAGGGCCGGGGTATATAACTCAGTAGTAGAGCACCACTGAATCCTGGATCCAACCTAGTATTAGGGGTAGGTGCTTGAAAAATAGTAGATGCAAGAAGGGAATGCTGACCCTTCTTCCCTAAGAGCAGGAGTTGAAAATCCCATGAGAACGGTGCCCTTCCTGAACCAGAAGAAGGGAAGACATTCTTATCACTAGAGATGGGGAGTAAAGGCCAAGGGAAATCCGTGCCATTGAACCTTGTTAAACTATCCCTTGTCTGCCTAGTTGCTTCTCTACCATTAACTGCCCCAGCCTAACCCTTTTATCTTGTTTATATCTATCTATCTATATATATATATACATACACACATTTTTATTTTTTTGGGTACTGGGGATCGAACTCAGGGCCTTGCGCATGCAAGGCAAGCACTCTACCAACTGAGCTATATCCCCAGCCCAATTTTGTCATATTTTCACAATTTACTATTTTTGTCCCATTTAGTATAGTCATGTGCCATATAATGACGTTTTGGTCAATGATGTGTCACACAGGTAACAGTGGTCCCATAGATTATGAGAGAGCTGAAAAATTCCTATCACCCAGTGACGTCACAGCAGTCTTAATTTCACAATAACGAAATCACCAAATGACAACTTTCTCAGAATGGACCCCACTATTCAGTGATATGTGACTATGTATTTAGGGCTTTCAGCCCTAAATGCTGCTTTGGAGCTTTTCTTGGAGTGCTCCCATGTACAGGTGAAAATGACTGAGTAAAATTTGTAGGCTGAGAGTTTAGCTCAGGAGTAGACCTAGCATGCATAAGATTCTGGGTTCCATCACTGAAAAAAAAGTATGCTTTTCCTCCTTAATCTGTTGTATGTCAATTTCATTCTTGGTTCTAGTTGAAGACACTAACAGGCTAAGTGTGAAATTGTACCTGCCCTTTAGGGTCAGGTGAGCCTGAATTTGAGTCCTGGATCACTTATTAGCAAGAGAGAGCTACTTTTGTTCTCTAAGCTTTAGTTTCCTCACTGTTAGTGGAGAGAATAATCTGAACTTCACAAAGTCCCTAGAAACAGAGGCTTTATACATGAGGCACCTGAAAACAAGTGGGGGTTTGATTTACAGAGGCTCTGATAAAATGACAATAATAGATGAGAGTCAAGAAAGACACTGGGAAAAAAGTGTATTAGTCCATTTTGTGCATGTGTAGCAAAATACCTGATGCTGGATAAGGTATAAAGAAAAGAGGCTTAGGGTTGGGAATTAGCTCAGTGGTGAGTGCTTGCCTAACATGCATGAAGCCCTGGGTTAAGTCCCAACATTGCCAAAAAAAAAATGTCTTTTAGTTCACAGTTTTAGAGGCTGAAAGTGCAAGACTGGGTGACCCTATCTGTTCGACCTCTCATGAGGCCTTTTGGCTGCATCACAACATGGTGGACAGCATTACGTAGCACGAGTGCATGCAAGACTGGCAAGTGACAAAAGTGCAGAAGAGGTCACAAGGAAAAGCAGGTGCAAGAGAGTGAGCTGGGAAGCAAAACTTGCTTTATAATGACCTGCCTCTCAAGGCACCTACTCCATCCCATGTGAGTGAGAAAATCATTAATCCCTCCTGTTGAACTAATGAGTTCTTAAAGACACCACCTCCCAACACCATGCTTCAATATGAACTGCAGCACCGACAGACTACATTCAAACCAGAGCAGAAAGACAGTTCTAGTCTTTGAGGGAATCAGTGGGACCCACATAGAATCCCAGGGAGCAAATGGAAGCCAGTGGTAAACTGCTGAACCATTTGGAATGAGACTGTGCTTAGGAGCTGGAGAGCAGCCCTGGGGCCAGCACAGCCCCTGAACACCAGCTGCACACCACCAAAGGGCCTGGGAACACGAACAATGTCAGCTTGTTTTTATCAATACTTGGTATTAGTCATGAAGAAGGATGAAGTAAATGGGGTAAAAGGGTATGGTTCAGTGGGATCAGGACACTGATGATGGCTCCCCATCTGGAGAAAAGCCAGGCTCCATCCCTGCCTCATTTGCATTAAGACAAATTCCCAATGGAGTGAAGATGGAAATGTGAAAAGTAAAACTATAAAAGCACTAGAAGAAAACACGGGAGATTTTTAATAAAGAAAATCTCAGAGTGGAGAAGTTCTCTCCAGGTACAACCTGAAAAAAAGATTGATAAATTCTACTACATTAAAAAAAAATTCATAGGCCAGGGCACAGCTCAGTAGGTGCTGCTCATTCCCACTTAAGAGAAATAAGAGGGTGCACCAGGTTGACAAAGCTTGTGATATTGGCTGTCAGCCTTGGAAGGAACAGGCTCTGTGGTGCATTTGGGCAGAAACCACTAAAAGACCCAATGCATAGTTGCATTTTTAGGATTTCATTCTAAAGGTCAGATTTGCACCAATTTATTCATAGCAACACTGTTTCAAAGGGCAAAATGTTGGGGAAAACTTAATTGTCCATTATCAATTATCAAGCTGGCGAATTCCAGCTCATTTAGTCGTTGAGATATCTTATACCCATTTAGAAAATGAGGCAAATTATTCAGTCCTAGTAGGCTCTCCGAAATGGATAGATAGTCTAGCAAAGTGCAGAACAGTGCATGCTATGTTTTCATGTCACATCACACAAACACACACACACACACACACACACACACACACACACAGGATCCTCTGGTAGATAGTTTCCATTCTCTGCTATGTGCACGTATCACCTTTTCAAAAGTGAATCTGATGACACAGGGACCTGCCTGGTCATTATTTCATGCTGACTTTGCTTACATAAGGGCTTTCCTTCTGTTGTGATGGATTCTCATTGCAGTTCTTGTTATTTTATTCTATTTTATTCATGGACCTGGAGATTGGAACTAGGGAGTGCTCTAAAACTGATCTAAATCCCCAGCCCTTTTATATATTTTAAATTTTGAGACAGGGTCTTGCTAAATTGCTGAGGCTGGCCATAAACTTATAATCCTCCTGCCTCAGCCTCCTGAGTAGCTGGAATTATTGGTGTGCACCATTGTGCCCAGCTCCCCCTACATTTCTGTGAGGGATTATCTCCATTTCACAATTAAGATATGTATGCTAGTAGCTGGTCAATGATATTTCTCTGGGTCACCAGTGAGGGGTCTATATGAGCCCCAAGCCTTAACTGATTGCACTGTGACCTCAAGATGTATTCTGCTGGATGCTATGTATGATGAGGAAGCTGGAGAAGAGCAGGACAAAGCTATAGGCGGGGACCTATGAGGGGAGGGGGAGCTGAGGCCCTCAGAGACCATGGGATCTTGGGAACTTCCAGGTCAGTGACCTCAATTTGGGTTGAGCATTGGAAGCAATGTGGAGAGTTCTGGAAAAGCCCAGTGCTGGGTCAAATACCTAACTGGGTGCACCTGGGCCCAGCTATCAGCTTGTTTCCAGGCCCTATGAGCTCTGATGTGCAGACTGGATGAGAATCACTGCTCTTGACTCTAAGAAGAGCACTCAGGGGGCTAGGGTTGTGGCTCAG